TTAATTATTTAAATAATAAATAAAATTATACTAAAAATAATATAAAAATTTTAACCTCAATTATAACATGAAATGAAATATTATGACCCTCTCTCAATTTAATTGATCACATTTACTACTTTCTATGAATAATTAACTTTTATACTTAAAAAATTCATTGCTTGATTATATTACTTTTTTTCCTTTTTCTAAATAGCCAATGGGATTACTTTACCTAAAACTTAATTAAACAAAATTAAATATTAACGTTATACTCTCTCCTCGCCTCCCATCTCTCCTCCCGTTCGTCTTGGTTCTCCATCTTCGGTGGCTCTTCCTCTCCTTCAATATTCCATTCTTCAATTCTTCTTATCATTTGGGAAATTCTTGTTTTATTAAGAAATTACAGAAGTTTCAAAATGATTTGTAACCATTTTTTTTCTTCCCAGAACTTTCTTCATCTTCCTGCTCTTTATCTTTCTTACAAATCGCCAAATTCAAACCGGAAAAATATTGAAATCCAATTGCTCCCTTTCCTCTCTACTTCTTGCGTACCAAACTAAAATTAATTACGAAATTACAAAGGGATGAAAAATCCAAACTTATAATAATCAAAATAAACATCAAACAACTTAGATCTAGATTCAAGGACTCAAAATTATATTTATTATATTTTTATTTTATATTTTAAGATTATAAAATAAAAAATCCTTATTAAAAATGCACGCTTAATTAATAACAGTAAAAAAGTCATAAAGGAAAAATTTTTTCACCGGACACGATGACACTGCAGGTGCAGATGTAGCAGCTTTTTTAAATTTACCATATTAAAAATGTACGCTTAATTATTAACGGTAAAAAAGTCCATCAAGCAAAATCTTTTCTCTCTGACACGATGACCAGTGCATGTGCGGGTGCAGCAGCTTTTTTAAATTTATCATATTAAAAATGCACGCTTAATTATTGACGATATAGAAGTCAAAAAGCAAGAAGCTTTTCACCTTGACACGATGACACGTGCAGGTGCAGGTGCAGCAGCACTTGAAATTTACCATGGCAATTAAATAGTGTTTTTAACCTAATTATATCAGGGTGTATTTAATTTATATTTTTTAAATATAAA